AACCTTTCAACAATACAAAGTGTGAGGGAATTAGGCATCCTCTAAACATATTACAACATAATTGAAGTGCAATTAAATTTAAGATAGATATTTCATCTCGAAAGATGGACATCGGATCCAAGGCATGCATTGGATGCGTCAGGAGAGTCTTTGCAGCAGAGCCGGAAAGTTTCAGGTTGGTCACTTTACATTGTGACTTTGAATACCCGACATAAAGCTCGGGAATCCGACTCCTCTCCAAGAGAGGGAAGGAGATACGACCAGTCTGAAAAAGATGGAAGAAGGTGGAATTGAACTATTCCACTGGGAGTGGATTACAGGATTTGAGAATTCATAAAACTTTGGCCCTCTCATACGTGGAGATATGAATCTCGACACTCGATGAAATGAAGCACAATGAAGGCAGCTTGGTCTCTCCAAGCTCGATTTGGAGGACGAAAATTTTAACGAGCTCAATAACAACTTGCCTAATTTGACAAAATAGGCAGTACCACTTGGTAGGGATAATTCGAGAATTTTGCCAGGGAGGAGATTAATTTTCCAGCCATTAGAAGCTATACACGCGGCCAAGTAACGAAGTGTCTGAGCAATACCCACGGCCTGTATTTTGCATAATGGGCTCCAAAAGATTTTTAGATTATTAGCGAGCCAAAGATATGGGAGATTGAGAGTTCGCCAGCTCCGTCTTTGGTATGCAATCTCAATCTCGATCTCGTCGAAGGCGGAACAAAAATGTGATCTCGGCACATAGAGAGATGGTAGGTCCATGAACTCGCCGTTCTTTATGGAGGATGACAGAGAGGAGAGTACCATACAAAGTCCGTGAAGATCTGGAGGTTTCTCGCTGGGGTTGCCGATGGATTTTGGGCTCGTTTGTTCGCCTCCGTCACGGCTGGATCCGAGACTAGAAGAACCAAAGAAAACACACCGGTAGGGTTTCATCTCTATCATATCCTCGAGGTGGTTCCTTAGTGTTCGTGCCGGTTCGGACTCTAGATAGAGAGGAGTGGATAGATCCAGTTCGAGGGGGTGGTTAAGAAGGGGGAAAGGTGGAGCCACGGCTAACAGAAGAGTGAGCCGAGGCGACGGGAGCTTTGGCGGCGGAGGAAGTAGCAACCTCCGGGATGGGCCAAACCGCCACAAACCTTTTGAAATAGGCCAAGCCCATTCTTTTGAGATCTCGCTCCAGAGGGTAATCGACATTGGGGAGGAGAAGTGGAAGGACATCCTCCGGGACGTAAAGTTACAGCTGCTATACACGAAGATTCCAACCGGTTGTAGACGCGGCAGAGGGTGGTCATGGTCTTGTCGAAGCTTCGGATGGGATCTATCTCCCACTAGAGGAGATAACTTTGAGATTATATCAGCTTCCTTATGACAGCGACGGAAGGTGGGGACAAGTGAAGACAACGGTGAGTCACGAGGGGCGGATGAGACCTGGTAACAAGATCCAATTAGAGAGTAAACTGTCCACAACAACAATACGAGGCCGCAACCGTGCTTTGACGGTATAGGCCACGAGACCGGAGAAGCTACAGGCGGAGGTTCAGGGGGGATTGGAAGCTGTGGAAATTTATCCGCCATTTCTGCCTCCAAACTTGGGTCTGGAAGCCTAGGGGACGGTGGGTATGAGACCGAACCCTGTTTAGCTGACGTCATGGAGCCGAGAGGGGGTAACGATGGAGGAGAACGACGATCCGATGAAGAAACTTCGTTGACGGTTACCTCGGCCGGCGTGCCTGGGAGAGATCCTCTAGGGCGAACTC